AACCAGTATCGGAGCCTCGGCGTCGACATATCGAGTGACGTGCAGTTTCGTGGTCACTTGGAAGAGAAGGCCAAATTAGCCTCTAAAAAGCTTGGCGTGCTCAGCAGAGCGGGACAGTATTTCATGCTGGCACACCGCCTGCAACTTTACAAGGCGCATGTTCGGCCTCACATGGAATACTGTTCCCATCTCTTGGCAGTGTCTCCCCAGTGCCAGCTCCTTCCACTTGACCACATCAAGTGTAGAGCTGTTCGAATCGTCAACGACCGAGTCCTTTCTGATCGGCTTGACTCACTGGCACTGCGTAGAGATGTTGCATCTCTTTCCGTATTTTATCGCATCTACCACGGGGAGTGCTCTAAGGAATTGTTCGGACTAATTCCAGCCGCTCAATTTCACCATCGTACATCGCGACAAAACTCGCGATACCATCCATATCATTTGGATGACACTGTGCCATTTAGATTTAGTGGAATCGATTACCATCAGCGATTTTTCCGGACCGATACGACTTAGGGACCTTCAAGAAAAGACCCTACTCATTTTTAAAAGGCCGGCAACGCATGTGCAATTCTCCTGGTGTTGCACTTGTTCATGGACGGCGGTAGTCACTTACCATCAGGTGAGTCGCACGCTCATTTGGCCCCTCTCCTATAAAAAAAGCAACACCTGGAAGTTTTATAGTCCATACAAATAATAAACCTATAGAAGAACCCCCACTGTGCTACCGAGCTTTCAATTACTTTATTCGTAATTAATCTACAGTCTACGACAATACAGCGGCGACAGTAACCAAACACTTACAGGTGAACTGTGTATTCACTTTTTACACCAAAAAAGGATGAAAAGTGATAAAAATTAAGATTAAAAACAACACGTCACATTTTTCACTTTATTGCACCTATAAAAGTACAGTTCGTTGCTAGTTTCGATGTTTACTCATCCTAAATAACCTTTCCAGTTTACAAACTAGTTAAGAACGTAAGTTTAGTTGTTACCTGTTTAAATAATATAAATAGGTACCATTTTATCAACTTGATTAGTGAACAATTTTCCCAATTTACATTTTAATTGAAAAATAAAAGACATTACATATCGTTATTTTATACCAGTAATTCCGAGAAGAAATCGGGTTAAAATTATAAAACAATTTTACATTATTTGCAAAAAAAAATTTTCATCACCTATATTGACAGAATAATGCATATAGTATTACCCAATTATATTCTTCGTACCGTTATAAACAAGGAACTCATTATATCTAAGTACATATTCTTACATTAATTGTCGTATACTTTAAAAGCCTCCAAAATAAACCAAATTAAAAGAAGTACAAATAAAATGTACTAAAATCATCACATTTTGTACAAACACTTTTCTGGATATTTACACATTTAGGATACCAGTAAAAAATGTCTCGAAGTTTTTGTATAAAATTGAGAACATTGAAAGAGAGCATGCTATTCTAAACGTAAATGAATGTTTAAAAGATAATATTTTTGTAAAGCGAATAAATAAATGTTGCATGAAATGTTCAAAATTCTAACATTACACGATTGTCAAATATGCAGTTTCATTTACTATGCAGCTTATAACATTATTTCGTATGAGTCAAATGCACTAGCCATTGCATAAAACATATTTGTATGTTGCTTTGCAAACGGGAATATATAGAACAAATAAGGTATAAAAATGTTACATAATGTAGTGAGTATTCTGTGAGTACATACGTATTTATTTCTTATTTACTATTGTCAGAATATTGTTAACATGTGAAAAACTAAATAGATAGTCATAATAATGTAACAAGTAACTTTCACTGTAAAAGTTAACACTAAACCATATAATATCAATGTTCATATAACATTTCAACATAGCACTGTAGGTTGGAATAGACTTATGACTATAGCTGCGTAAAACGGAAAAATAAAACAGTACTTATAATTAAACAAAAAGTGAAACTAAAGTTACTAGTGTCATCGGTTAATAGTACTTAGTAGTTGGTTGATAGAAATTGGAATGCAATAATTTATGCTTTATACAAGTGAAATTTTTAAAAGTTATTTATTAATTATTTTTAATATACCACTTTTCTTTTTTTTTCATATTCTTGCATTGTCATTCGATTTTGAACTATGTTCAAAATGTTAAATCTCTAGCTCATCGGGAAGTTATTTTAAAATCAATTATTAAAATTCGACCCGAACAGACACAAAAGCGAGTTACTAGCGAGGTACTGATAAAAACCCAGTTTATCATTTAATTAAATCAGTATTTTTTAATTACACAACAAAAAACGCAAAACTACATTTTTACGGGCTATGTGGAAGACCTTCAAGGAAGATAACATTTTTTATGACGATCAAATCGCGTTAGTAAACAATGTGCAGGCAAGATAGTGCACTATAAAAAGTTATTTAAATCAATTTCAATTACACAATATAAGATACAGTAATTCACATTTAAATCAGGCCTTGCATAATAATTACACATTGAAAACATTCATTGGATATGTAACTTTAATTTGTTTTTTAAAATTGTAATGTATCTTAACAAAAGATTAGCAAGTATTACAGATTTTTTTTAATATAAATAAACCGTTGATTCTGGGCAAATGACACTGTCAACATACTGCCCTAGCAGTCGGGGCACATTTAAATTACGTAAAATGCATATTAATTTAAAGATCTTCATTGAAGGATTTCAATGTGCGATAATTGTAGAACAATTGAGAAACAAGCACTTCTATCTTAATACAGACTTATTTGTACAGAACAGATATAATAATTAATTAGTTTATAACTTAAGTGGAATGCTACTCATAGTCGGAAATGATATCTACTAGTAGGACCTTTTATTTAACTTATTTTAACAATATTCACATGTGAAACCTATTGTGTTCCTCTTAAAGGTGCGAAGCGTGGGTTGACACTAAAACTTTTACCGAATGGAAACATATCGGATATGTAAAGCGCAGTTTTTGTTAAAGTTTGTTATCTGATTAAAATCGGAGCCAACAAAATGTCGCGATCTTTAACATGGAACCCCATTTCTTAGATATATCTAAGAACACTCATAAAGCAATAAGGTCGAAAAGTCCAAATAAATAGTAATTTATGTATGGTGTAGCAAAGACATTAATTCATTTAGTTTTATTTAATAACTACATTAAGCTTACATGTGTTATATAAGGTATATAGTTTTATTTTAGTCATAATATATTATTATTCTATAGTAGAGACAAAGATGATAGACATAAGAGCGGTTGCCCCTTGTAACGTCTGTGCACAATGCGTTGACTATATCAAAATTACAAACTTACATGCTAAAATAGTAGCTCTTAAGGTATACATTTGCTGTACGATATACAACCTTAAATGGATCCCCAATTAAAGTTCGCGACTGTATATTAATGGACTGAAGTAAGTTAGTCACAGTTTTGTTGCCTTTTAGGACTCATCTAAACGATATCTTCATTCGCAATACATTATAAAATAACTCTGTTATTGTGTGTTAGTGAAATAGGCTTATATACACTTTAAATGTTAAAAAAGATAATATATGATCACATTCCGCTAAGCACAAAATATTATTTGTGCGCTGTTATCAACTAACTTACTTTTACATAAAATTATTATGCTTGAATGTCTCATAAAATTCTTATAAAACGCTTCGCATCCTAAAATCAAAACTAACACTGTAAACTCAAACTTTCACCTAGATCTTCGTTTCTTAACCTTTTTACAACAGTATCTCAAACACAGATAATGTTATTTTCTAACTGTGAATAATTTAGTCTTTTTGAAGTAATTCAAATTTTGTATTTCATTTTCCTGTACACAATATCGCTTGACCCCCTGTACATCGTGCAGCCTACTGTGCTTAAAATCGCAACACAGGATTATTATTATTTGCATACAGTATTACAACTCGCAACAACCTATAGAAGAAACTTTGTACGCTGTATCGCGACCCCCGTACAAACAATTACAACTTCCTTTACATCAGTGGTTCTTAACCTTTTAGTGATGAGTGACAATTTGACCAATTTTTGGCTTACTATGAAGTACCAACTTTTAGACATAATATAAATTATAGTAAGGTTGATTTTTATGTTCGTTATTTAAATTAAATAAATGTGTGACATTTTTGTGCGCCTCTTATTTTATTTTAAAGTCAATACCTTCCATCTTCAAAAATGTATTAAACCGTTTTTTTGTATTTGAGAGAATTGTATGATATTTTCGCGGACCACTTTAGGTACCTTCAGGGACCAACTGTGGTCCGTGGATCACAGTTTTACATAGTATTGTGACTTACCTGCATACTGTACCGCGACCCCATCTACACTATAATATCACGACACCTCTTACTAATAAAAGTAAACGTGGTACCTGTACTGTTGACGGAAATATATACGATTGTATGTTACCATTAACAGCCTATCAAAAGTCTTGTCTCAGGGGATTATTTGCCATAGTTGCCACGCTTGACAGGTCGGTTGGCAACCACAGTTCGTTATTATTTAGTTATAATTACGAAGACGCCGTTGCCTATCTAGTTGACCGTGTAGTGGCGGTGTATGACGATCCACTACACCATATTATCCCGTGGGATTCGTAAGAGGCGACAGAGGGGAGACTACATTACAATAAAACTCCTTTTATACTATAAACCACATCCCTGCCATACCATAGTCCGCGCTCCATTTTAAAGGCGTTATACTTCACACGAATTCGCGACCTTCTTGCTCGCGATCCGTTATACGTTAGTTCGGGATATTCTGTTTTAAAGGTTGAGAAACGATGACCTAGATTATTTACAACAGATTATATTTCGTTGAAACTTAAAGCGAATAACATAAGAATTGTAGGCGGTCACCTTTGTGACTGAGCAAGTGGACCGATGAGCGTCAACAGTATTGTCTCGTTGTGTACATTATCGCGCAAATTGACATTGCTCCACATGGACGGTTGAGAACGGCGAATGGAGGACTCGATTTACATCACCTGAAATATATTTATTTCATTAGACACAAAGACATTTAAGTAGTAGTAATAGACCGAACATCAGTAGCAAAATTGTCGTCTGGAACTTATGTCCTATAGGATATATCTCCGATTTTTGTCATTTAGTCTTAGTGACATCGTCAAAAAGTCAAGAAGCATTCGTTTCATATATTTAAAAAATATTTTTAAAGAAAATACGCCCGGTTGTGCATTAAGATATTGTAAGTCACGATATGAAGCAAAAAATGAACGTGATATCGGTTTACTATCGTAAATATAACATATATTTACCGAATAAACTTTAAATTTTATTATTTCTAGTAGATTGTTCTAGAACATTTATTTTTATTGTAATAAGCGTCCTCTGTTATCCAGTAAACGTCACTATTTAGTTACCAATTTTAATTATAAAACAATCATGTATATTTCCTATTATTATATTGAAAAGCATTTCAAACTTAGTAATCTTCAACAACTTTTATATCGAAACGGTAACATTCCTAAAACGAGGTTATATTTATTAGCGTCACCTACTGGGTAATAGCTAAAATGTTGTCTTAATAAATGCTTAGCGTTGTTTTGCTATTTTTAGCTAGAGGGTGCCACACGCGCACTAGCTCAAAGTTTTTGTATATAAATCTTCCCAATGTCCACTCTATAGTATGCCTATATATTTAAATCTCTTTGATTAGACATAATATATAACATAAGGAATGCTTCGGTGATTTGGAGACGTTGGAAGAATGAATGGGGACGCAGTATACTGAAGTTTATCAAACAAATTAGCGATATATTAAAGATGGGCCTCATTAAGAATACCCTTAACGGACGTGCATGTATGCGTGGATGTGAAGGAAGCGAGAAAAGTGTGTCATGATCTAAATCATCATCATAATCATTACAGCCCGTCACAAGTCCACTACTGAACATAGGTCTCACCCAAGGAATGCCACAAAGCAGGGTCCTGAGCCACCTGCATCCATCGACTTTCTGTCGTCAGTCCATCTAGTACGGGGCTGTCTTACTCTGTGCCTACCGGTACGAGTGCTTCCATATGTGTATATATGTACGTCTGTTCCCTGTACGTGTGCGTGTACACACGTATGTATGTATACGTTTCTTTTTCTGTGCAAACGTAGTTATGCTTTTCTTGTATACACGTGCGTACATACGACAAGCGTATGTTTCCATATGTATAGTGTGTATGTGCGAGATACATATGCCTACCGATAGCACATACCATACAACACCGCCTGCTAAGCAAACATCAGCACGTCTTTAAAACGTGACTCAATTTACTTTATTTCAATTTATTTTTATACGTGGTAGAGCCATGCTGCAGCTATATTAATAGTATAATTGTAGCACAAATGGGTCGGCTTGCCCGGGGAAGGACCACGCTCTTACAAAAAACCAGCGTGAAATAGCAGCTTAATGCTGCTGTGTTTTTTGTGGTGAGTGTAGAGAACCGGATACTATTTTTACTGGAAAAGAGGCATTCCATCTTAGTCCGCACGGGTGACAACGCATGATAGATAGATAGATAGATAAAGCATTTATTTGTTTCTCCAATCATACACGTAAATTCAGTAACTAAACTAAGTACAAAGTAACATATTACGAAAAAAATAATTTACAAAAACTTAAAATCTAAATGTACATGTGTGTACATTTAGATTTTAAGTTCGCGCATCTGCATTTTGATTCGCAAACGAGGATAGATGTAGATGTCTATGGGTCACAGCAACCACTTACTATCAGGTGGACTGTGTGCTCGTTTGTCACCTTATCCTATAAAAAAAAAAACTTACGTAGACATAAGATTACTCAACATAGAATAAAAATCAAGGTTTAAGTTTTTTTTTATAGTAGAGGGGGCAAATGAGCTAAGTGACTACCGCCGCCCATGAACAACAGCAACACCAGGGGAACCAGGGGAATTGCGCAGTGGTTTAGTAATGAGTTGCTGCGCTGGGGGGCGCGGGTTCGAATCCCGCACGGAACAAGTATTTGTATGGACTACAAACAATTGTTCCGGGTCTGGATGTTTTTCCTTGTGCAATTTGTGTTTGTAAACTGCCTCCACGATACAGGAGAAAATCCTAGTGTAGGGGTAATGTTTTTTAAAGAAAAAAAAAAGTTGCCGGTCTTTTAAAAAAGGAGTAGGCTCTTTTCTTGAAGGTCCCTAAGTCGTATCGGTCTGGAAAAATCGCTGGTGGTAAACTATTCAAGTGTTAAGTGTTAAGATCATCCATTATTTCTGTGAACATAGATTGTCACAGTAGTTAAGATAGTGTGTGTGTATGAACGCGTGCGCGCGCGCGTGCGTGTGTCCCTGTGTGCGTGCGTGTGCATGTGTGTGCGTGCACATCCGAGCATGCGTGTGTGCGTGCGTGCGTGTGCACTCGCCTGCAGTATCTGGCTGGCCTCGAAGGCGGTGCCGGGCAGCAGCACGATGGGCGCGGCGACGCGGCCCGCCTCCACGCACACCATATTCGGGAACTCGTCGTCCCCGAAGTCAGGAATCTCCTTCGCGTACTCCGACCACGGGTTCCAGATCACTGCAATGGTATATTGATGTTCAATTAACATTAACAATATTACGATGAATTAGAAATAGAAATATTGATGATTAAGGGCGATCAGCTAATCTTTTTTCGAAATAACTTTTTTTACGTGGTAGAGCCATGCTGCAGCTATATTAGTAGTACAGTAGTAGCACGAATGGGTCGGCTCGACCGGGGAAGAACCACGCTCTCACAGAATACCAGCGTAAAATAGCAGCTTAACGCTGCTGTGATTCGTATGGTGAATGTAGAGAACCGGAGACCCTTTATACTGGAAATGAGGCATTCCATCTTAGTCCTCACGGGTGATAACGCATCTGCATTTTGATTTGTAATGGAGTATAGATGCAGATGTTTATGGGCCGCAGCAATCACTTACCATCAGGTGGACTGTGTGCTCGTTTGTATCGAATTTTGCGGATTATAGAGTACTGCCTAAGACCCCCGAGTACTGCCTATAGTCCGGAATTTTTTATAAAAGAGTACCTTATAAGGTATGTAATCCGACAAATTCCAGATCCAATGATAAGATTCTATATGTTATATATGTACTCTGAAGTACTAATTATACTTCATTATGTATGTCAAACTTAGTAAATTAAACAACACAATAGGGAGATTACATTTTATTATAAAATTAACGTCATTAATGCTATAGAACTAACAAAAAATATGCAATAACTTTACATTAGGAAATAATTATGTACAAACAATATAATATATATATATATATATATATATATATATATATATATATATATATATATATATATATATATATAGAGACGGTTCGACAAAAATGAGATTGAGTTCATTATGACGACCAGCGACCAGACGACAACTGCCAACTGTCAAAGCTGAAGACCGAATGTGGCAGCATCGTTTCCAGGACACCTGAGATTTTGAGTGAGATTGAGAGGTTCTATGGGCAGCTGTACACGTCATCATTGGAGCCACACGCAAGTGTGAGTAACGATCCAAGAGCGAGTCTTATCCGACACTATTCCGAATATATCCCGGACGTCAGTCTGAGCGAGATTAGAATGGCTCTCCAGCACCTTAGAAACGGAAAGTCCCCGGGCGAGGATGGAATTACAGCGGAGCTTCTGAAAGCGGGTGAAAAAACGGTACTTGAAGTCCTTCAGAAGCTCTTTAATTCCGTCCTCCATGGTAGCACTACTCCGGAGGCGTGGAGCAGAAGTGTGGTGGTCTTGTTCTTCAAGAAAGGCGACAACGCTCTCTTGAAGAACTACAGACCGATTTCCATTCTGAGCCGCGTCTACGTGCTGTTTTCGATAGTCATTACGAATCGTCTCGCACGCAGACTTGACAACTTCCAGCCTCCTGAACAATCCGGTTTCCGAAAATGCTTTAGTACCATAGACCACATACACACCCTTCGGCAAATTATACAGAAGACAGAGGAGTATAATCTGCCACTTTGCCTTGCGTATGTGGACTATGAGAAGACTTTGATTCCGTCGAAATTTGGGCGGTGCTGCAGTCTCTTCAGCGGTGCCAAGTTGACTGTCGGTATATCGAAGTGCTGAAGTGTTTGTACAATAGAGTTACGATGGCTATCCGAGTACACAGTCAGAGTACGAAACCTATTCAACTGCAGAGAGGTGTAAGACAGGGTGAAGTTATATCCCCGAAACTCTTCACCGCTGCATTGGAAGACGTTTTCAAGCTGCTGGACTGGAAAGGGTGCGGTATCAACGTCAATGGCGAGTACATCACTTACCTTCGATTTGCCGACGATGTAGTCCTTATGGCAGAATCGCTGGAGGACCTAAGCACTATGCTCAATGACCTGAATAGTGTCTCCCAACGGCCTATCCGTTGGGAGACACTATTCAGGTCATTGAGCAAGCAGCGGAGAGACATACACACCCTTCGGCAAATTATACAGAAGACAGAGGAGTATAATCTGCCACTTTGCCTTGCGTATGTGGACTATGAGAAGACTTTGATTCCGTCGAAATTTGGGCGGTGCTGCAGTCTCTTCAGCGGTGCCAAGTTGACTGTCGGTATATCGAAGTGCTGAAGTGTTTGTACAATAGAGTTACGATGGCTATCCGAGTACACAGTCAGAGTACGAAACCTATTCAACTGCAGAGAGGTGTAAGACAGGGTGAAGTTATATCCCCGAAACTCTTCACCGCTGCATTGGAAGACGTTTTCAAGCTGCTGGACTGGAAAGGGTGCGGTATCAACGTCAATGGCGAGTACATCACTTACCTTCGATTTGCCGACGATGTAGTCCTTATGGCAGAATCGCTGGAGGACCTAAGCACTATGCTCAATGACCTGAATAGTGTCTCCCAACGGATAAGTCTTAAGATGAAGATGGACAAAACAAAAATCATGTTTAACGTCCATGTCACACCTAAGCAGGTAGTTGTTGCGAGCACTAAGCTCGAAGTTGTTGACGAGTATGTTTACCTGGGCCAAATAGTCCGACTAGGTAAGTCCAACTTCGACCGAGAGGTCAATCGACGGATTCAACTCGGCTGGGCAGCGTTCGGGGAACTATGACAAATCTTCTCGTTAGACATACCTCAAAACCTTAAAACGAAATTGTACAACCAGTGCGTGTTGCCAGTGATGACTTACGGATCTGAGACGTGGTCCTTCACTGCTGGCCGTATGAGGAAGCTTAAGGTCGCTCAGCGAGCTATGGAGAGGGCTGTTTCTTAGAAATGAGGATATCCGCAATAGAACCAGAGTAACCGACATAGCCCAATAGATTAGTAAGTTGAAGCGGCAGTGGGCTGGCCATATAGCTCGAAGAACCGATAACCGATGGGGAAGAAAGGTTCTTGAGTGGCAGCCTCGTACCGATAGGCGAAGTGTAGGGCGACATGCAGGAAGTCGATGGATGCAGATGGCTCAGGACCGTGCTTTGTGGCATTCCTTGGGGGAGGCCTATATATATACATACACACATATTATATATACATATACATATATTATATATACAATCCGACTCTTAGAAGATATCTATCGACTGTCATCAGGTCAATATTTGGAAGAGAGAAAGAACCTTAGCTTAGAACTTAACCTGCGATTCGTCGCGCCATTGCTAAATGTTTAGTCGCTACGCTATCGAGTCAATTTGTATAAGACAAAAGTAGTTATATTAAATTTATATTAGAGCAATTAGAGAATCAGATGACAAAATAATTCTTTGTATGATAGCAGCACGCTAAAAAATTAATGCAAACACGTGTATTATAAAAATATTATTTTGTACAATATTATAGTGGAAGAACCAACCGGTATCAGGGAAGTTGTACTTCTGTATCCTCATCTTGCGGCCGCTGACGACGTTGGTGATGATGTGCTCTTGCATAGTGTTCTGGTAGATGCGATCCGTCCATTCATTGATGGTAACCACTTCCCGCGTCTCTTGGTACACGGCACCTTCTCGTGTCTGCAGGACAAAGTTTACAATTACTTTCCTAGCTTAGTGTTCTCGCCGTGTAGTGGCGGCGTATAGGAATCCACTATCGCATATTATCCCGTGGGTGTCGTAAAAGGTGACAGAGGAAAATTAAACAGGTAATGGGCAGCAGCGCCTTCGAAATAATAACTTTATAATAGTATAGAATAGAATAGATTAGAATAGAATAGAATAGAATGATTATTATTCGATATTCATTATTACATAATACTTATTGAAAGTCATTTTTTATTTACCACTGGTTCGGAAAATACCTCTGTCCTGGGAAGAGCCAGTAAGAAACCCAGCGGGACTTTTTTTTCAACATTTCACTTAACAATGATTTTGTTTATACAATTTTAAATTAATTTTCATAGAACCAGCATGGTGGCGATCACCTTATTCCCAGGTAATAATAAACTGGCCAACCTGTGACAACTATGGCTAACTTCCTCCATATAAGGCAATCTATAGGGATAACCTATTTTCAGAAGTGGACTCTTGATGATCTATAATAAAGAAATGAATGAGCTTAGTGGCTAGAGGTCCTGCATAGTATGAAGCGGGTTCCTGTTTCGAATCCCAACTAGCGATAAAATTTATGCAAAAACACGTAATGTTTGTTTTCGAGTCAAATTGTGTTGTGGTTGTCCATTGTGGTTGGTATGCCACCACACATTTCGCTTACCAGTACAAGGTTGTCACTCAACAACCTATATCAATAAACCGACATAGGCCAACGGAATACGAGGGGCACACTGAAATGATCGGGAATAGAATATTTCGGATTGAGTTACAATAAAACTTTTTTTAGAATTTTAATACTGGCCTCTTAGAATCTTAATGACATTCAAACAATTAAAAAAATGTTTAAAAACAAAAACTATGTTGGTTTAAAGTTGACACATCGTTAACAGAAATGGAGCTCACGCGTGAATATTTCCGTGCCATAATTTATCACAATTTTCGTCGCGGCTTATTTCAAGATAAATGTCTCAGCGAACTTGTTTCGATTTATGATGTTGAAGCACCGAGTCAAAGGACAATATACCGCTGGTATGCCGAGTTCCGACGCGGTCGTGTGTCGCTCAGCACTGTTTCTTCTGCAGGTCGACCAAAAACAGCGGTCACGCCTGAAAACATCGCAGCTGTGCGAACTATTATATTAGATGACCGTCATGTGACATACGAGCAGATTCGGGCTGTTTCAGTATCGGAATGACTGCAATTCAATCGATATTACATAATGAGTTGTGTGTAAGAAAGCTAGTTTTCCACTGAAGAGCAAAAGGCGGCTCGTGTAGATTGTTGCCGGAACACTCTGCAACGCTTCAACTGAGGGAAGTCAAATGCCGTTTATAATATCGTCTCAGCTGACGAATCATAGATTTATTCATACGAAGCTGAAAGAAAACATCAGTCAGCAGTTTGGGTCTTCGAAGACGAGGTGAAACCAACAAAAGTGGTTCGCTCCCGCAGCATGTCAAAGAGAATGGTCGCTACGTGTCTCGAAAAATGGGCATGTTGCTACAATTCCTTTACAGGAACACAGAACGGTTACCGCTGAGTGGTATATCACGGTTTGTTTGCCAGAAATGATAGCCGAACTCCGAAAAAATAACCCGAAACGTCGCATCATCTTACATCACGATAATGCGAGCTCCCATACGGCTCGGAAGACAAATTATTTTTTGAAGCAAGAAAACGTTGAGCTGATGAGCCATCCTCCGTACAGTCCTGACCTGAGCCCAAACGATGTCTTTACATTCCCTAGAATGAAAGATTTACTACGCGGTCAACGGTTTGAAGACCCTGAAGCAGCTGTGGAAGCGTACAAATCAGCCATTTTGTCAACATCAACTTCAGACTGGAATTACTGTTTTAATGATTGGATTGCACGAATGGAAAAGTGAATTAAGTTGAACGGAGAATACTTCGAAAAACAATAAAATACAATTTAGCTATACCGTGCATGTGGTTTTTCTTATTCCCGATCATTTCAGTGTGCCCCTCGTAGTAGGCTGATGTAGCAATGGGCCGGCCATATAGCTCGAAGAACCGACAATGGAGGAAAGGATTAGGAGGAACTCTTTAATTATATTTTACAATCAGTAAGATTAATAGATTCTTAGTAAATAAGAGTTATTTCATGTTTATCTTACATAGACATACTGGTTTTTTATAAGAATATTTTATCAAAAAAATCTTATAATTAATTTTATTTCTAAGTGTTTAAAGGATTCTGTAGGTTTGATTAAATTCGATAAAATACACTAAAAACCGGTAAGACCCGGCAATCCCTGTTCCGAACATCTTTTAGAAGCCAGTATATCCCTCAGCATTAGCCCACTGAGCAACTTTATGCTTCCTCATACGGCCAGCAGTGTGGAGCCACGTCTCGATTACAAATGTCATCACTACCAAGATGCACTAGTTGTACGCTATTATTAAATATTTTGATGAAGCATCCAATCTCACCTTGTCAATGAACATGCACCCGTGCATGCCGGTGATCTGGCAGCGGCGCACGTCTGGCACCTTGAAGTACGTGTGCAGTAACAGCTGGCAGCTGAATGTCAGCTCTTTGCTCGGGTTGTACACACCAATGTTAAAGTGCAGCTCCTTTTCGCGGAGGATCAGCCTATACGTGAGTCTGAACCTAGTAACAAAGAGATAGGGTGTAAATTAAGACATAGGATAAAAAACAAAATAAAACTAGACGAATGGGGACGCTACAGCTATATATGACTGCAGCACGAATTAGTCGGCTCGTTCGCGGAAGGACCATGCCCTCAAACAATACCAACGTAAAATAGCAACTTAAAGCTGTTGTGTTTCGTATGGTTAGTGTAGAGTACGGAGACCCGTACTCTATACTAACCTCGTTTATATTATAATATAAAAGAAAAATTACATATTATATGCATCTTTAAACAAAAAATAACATCACCCCTACTTTGTAGGGGTCGCAAACCGGGATCCCGAATCTCAAAAATACCGGAATACCGGACTGAAACGAAAGCTTTAAAATACCGGTATTGAGTGAACGGAGACCGGTATTTACGTTTTTTTTCGGTATTTTATTATAAATCTATGTTAAATAATATTATGCCAATAAAAAATTAAAAAGCCCACGCTTCTCGCGCGGTGGTTGCTATGGCAACGCGGCTCGACTATACAACGCAAGTAGCGCGACACTCTGGAGTGAGCGGGAGAGAGTACCCACTCCAGAATTCCGAAGCCGACGACTAATCCGCTAGCTCGCCCGCAGTAATCCGCGTGATAATATTTGTGCGAGATATTTGTTAAGTTTAGTGAGTGAATGCCTTGGTGAATGCAGGCAGAGTGACCCATCCAACGGAAGGTACAGTCATTGGCTTACTAAATTAGGAGCACTTGAGTAGTCTTCTTTATTTAGTTGATTGTCGCGCGTCGACTAATGTGCGCTTCTGCTCTTTGTTTCTCCATCCATAATAAATGCAAAATGGTACCGTGTACAATTAGGTAACTGTCTAGGTAGCTACCTATTTGGTCTATGAAATCACGAAACATAAGGTTAAGTATAAAGCAGTCGTTAGAGCTAAATTGAACTTAGTTGCGTGCTTCGTAGCCGCATTTTATGTTTTCCTACCTTAATGTTTTCGCGAAGTGGGCATTCTGTACCTGTACTATTATAAATACTGTGGATATGTAGTTTTCTATTTATTCTGTGCAGAATCAATGGGGTTATTTTTAGTGACCGACCGAAGGTTCGGTGTCGGCAAGTTTCGGCAAAAAAATCTAGTTTCGCTAATAGTTTCGGTTTCGGCGAAAAATCTGCCGAACCTTCGGCGGCACCGAAACTCAGTGTTAGTGGATTATCGTGCGTCATTCGGATGAGTTCTTGACTCTTGTAATATTCATAATTATACAGAAACAGAAACTTTTTTATTCAATATAGATTATAAATAATACTTATTGAAAGTAACTTTTTTGTTTAACTACCACTGGTTCGAAAAAACCTATGTCCTTGGAAGAACCAGCAAGAAACCCAGCGGGACTTTTTTTAAATAACAGCTTATAATTAGAGGCGTAGCGTGGACTAATATAAACGTGGGCGAAGTTGCATCAGCGAGGCCTCTTTTCTTTCGTTCCAAGAAGATCCTTGGTAGGATAGATCTATTGGGTAGATCCCAATAGATCTATCCTACCAAACTTGGTTTGACACGACATACCTACTCATATTTATTAATTCCTAACAAGTCTCGTGTTCCGTCAATATAACAGTCGCGGTCTTTGAAGGTAGTTACAACGGCTCGCGGCACAAACACACTTGTTACTTTATTTTTCGAGCGTAATTGTGATCAAATTAATTTGTCATCTGTGGTAAAGTCTGGGGGCATCGCATTTTGAGGTGCCTCGCGAGGCTCCTTCAAGTGCGAGGCCGTACGCGATAGCCCACTTCGTCGACGCCTAGCTACGCCACTGCTTACAATCATGTATGTAACACAATTAACAACACAAAACAAACTAGAAATAGTTTAGTAGTGATCACCTCATTCCCAGGGGTTATAAATTCCTTAGTATTATAATAACCCTTTTTATACAAACTTAGCTTATTAAAGTTTTTGAACTTTAAGCAGGTTTTATATATTTTCTGGGATTTTGTTAAGTTGTGTGTATATTGTGTGTAAGTGTGTGAGTGTGATATATTAAGTTAATGCTTTCATTGAATAATATTAACAATATTGTGAAATTAACGGTGGTAGAGCCCCGCAGCAGTTTTTTGCTGTTGCACGTATGGGCAGGCTCGAGCCGGGTTGGTACCACGACCTCACAGAATACCGGCGTGAAGTAGAGGCTTTGCTTCTGCGTTTCGTCTGGTGAGTGCAGGTGGCCGGAGGCCCAATTCCCCCCCCCCCCCCCCCCCCATCAACATGGTAGCGGAATTACAAAGTAGACTACCCCAGGAGGGTACCAGTACCCCTGGAGAATCCCTCGCTGAGCATCCACGACCATGTTATTCCAATCCTGAGCGTGGGTGCTCAGGCTGCCCCGCGTATTCTGGGGGGGGCAAAATTCCGCTCAAAAACAAAACTGCTTGGGGCAAACTGAGCAACAATACCAAGGCGACCCCTGCCACGCTATCCGTGAATTTCTGCAACATCAGGGGACTTCACTCTAACCTAAACGCCGTCCACTACCATCTCGAGACGGCGAAGCCGGCCTTGCTCTTTCTGACCGAGACGCAGGTTTCCTCTCCGGCTGATATTTCGTATCTCTCCTGCCCGGGGTACAAATTGGAGCACTCCTTTGTGCCTCGGGCTGGAGTTTGCGTGTATGTCAGAGAGGACATCTGTTCTCGACGCCTCGGCAGTCTTGAAGGTTCGGACCTGTCCATCCTTTGGCTACGCGTAGACAGCGACGACCATCCGCGCGTCTACGGGTGCCTCTATAGGTCCCATAGCGGTAATGCCGAAACAGACCGACTCATCGACCACGTCCAAATGGCTACAGATTCCTTGCTACAACAGGTCCCATCCGCAGAGATCGTGATCCTTGGCGATTTTAACGCCCACCATGCCGAATGGCTCGGTTCACGTTTAACCGATCATGCGGGGAGATCTGTTTATGACTTTGCTTTGGCATATGGTCTGACACAACTGGTTACTTCGCCTACGCGGATTCCAGATGTGGAGGATCATACACCTTCCCTGTTGGACCTTCTGCTGACCTCTCATCCGGACGGATATCAGGTTTCCATCGATGCCCCTCTCGGCTCTTCGGACCATTGTCTGATCCGGAGTATGGTGCCACTCACGCTCCCTTCGCGGTTGCGTTCTGCAGGTTGCCGCCGTGTTTGGCATTACAGGTCGGCGGATTGGGACGGAATGCGGTCTTTCTTTGCATCCTACCCATGGGGGCGGGTTTGCTTCTCGCCGGATGATCCCAGCGCTGTTGCTGACTCTGTCACTGATGTGGTGCTACAGGGAATGGAACTATTTATTCCATCATCTGTGGTACCCATCGGAGGCAGGTCTCAGCCTTGGTTTGGTCGCTCCTGTAAGACTGCATTGCGCAGAAAGCAGGAGTGTTATCAAGCCTGGGCTGCGGCTTCGGTGACTCGGGATGTAAACACCAGCACACTTAAAAAGAAGTATAACTTCGCCTCCAGGTCCTTCAAAAGAGTTATTGCCAAGGCAAAGTCAGAGCACATAGGCAGAATTGGCGAGAAACTAGTTCGCCTTCCTTCGGGAACCCGTGCATTCTGGTCTCTCGCCAAGGCTGTCCAAGGGAATTTCTGTAAGCCATCACTACCATCTCTGCACAGGGAGGACGACTCACTGGCCCACGACGCAAAAGAGAAGGCCGACCTTTTAGGCTCCCTTTTTGCGTCCAACTCGACTGTTGATGACGGGGGGAACACACCGCCGACCATCCCGCGGTGTGAGTGCTCTATGCCGGATGTGCTATTCTCACAGCGCTCGGTTCGCAGAGCACTCCTCTCCCTTGACATCCACAAGTCGAGTGGGCCTGACGGAACCCCCCAATTGTGCTGAGGACGTGTGCTCCGGAGTTGGCACCGGTTCTAACGCGTCTTTTCCGGTACTCCTACTCCCATGGCGTTGTCCCGAACTCATGGAAGACAGCTTTTGTCCACCCGATCCCTAAAAAAGGCGACCGCTCAGACCCGTCCAACTATAGGCCTATCGCGATTACCTCCTTGTTCTCCAAAATAATGGAATCCATTATTAACTGCCAGCTCATCCGGTACCTTGAGGATCACCAGCTGATCAGTGACCGCCAATACGGTTTTCGTCGGGGTCGATCAGCTGGTGATCTTCTAGTCTACCTGACCCATAGATGGGCGGAGGCAGTAGAGTCCAAGGGGGAGGCGTTGGCCGTTAGTCTGGACATTGCGAAGGCCTTTGATCGGGTTTGGCACAAAGCGCTTCTTTCGAAGCTCCCTTCCTATGGGCTTCCCGAGAAATTGTGCAATTGGATCACCAGCTTCCTTGCAGATCGGAGCATCAAGGTCGTTGTAGACGGTGCATGTTCTGACTACAAGCCTATTAACGCTGGTGTTCCACAAGGCTGTGTGCTATCACCAACGCTGTTTCTTCTGCATATCAATGATATGTTGCTAACTGGTAACATTCATTGCTATGCGGATGACAGCACTGGTGATGCTCTATACACCGGCCGGGCCAATATTTCTCGGGAAAACGTCGCCGAGTACCGGAACAAACTTGTGTCTGAAGTCGAGTCTTTGCTGGACAAAGTCTCGGATTGGGGGCGACTAAATCTAGTCCAGTTTAATCCTCAGAAGACACAAGTTTGCGCGTTTACCGCTAAAAAGAACCCCTTTGTCGTATCTCCTCAGTTTCAAGGCACTCCCCTTCTTGCCTCAGCCAGTATCGGTATCCTCGGAGTCGACATATCGAGTGACGTGCAGTTTCGTGGTCACTTGGAAGAGAAGGCCAAATTGGCCTCTAAAAAGCTTGGCGTGCTCAGCAGAGCGGGACAGTATTTCATGCCGGCACACCGCCTGCAACTTTACAAGGCGCAGGTTCGGCCTCACATGGAATACTGTTCCCATCTCTGGGCAGGGGCTCCCCAGTGCCAGCTCCTTCCACTTGACCGCATCCAGCGCAGAGCGGCTCGAATCGTCGACGACCGAGCCCTTTCCGATCGGCTCGATTCATTGGCACTGCGAAGAGATGTTGCATCTCTTTGCATTTTCTTTCGCATGTACCATGGGGAGTGCTCTGAGGAATTGTTCGGATTAATCCCAGCCGCCAAATTTCATGAACGCACATCGCGGCAGAACTCCCGATACCATCCACACCATCTGGATGATTGGCGGTCCACCACTGTGCGATTTAGAAGATGTTTTCTTCCTCGCACGACTTCCTTGTGGAATCGATTACCATCAGCGATTTTTCCGGACCGATATGACTTAGGGACCTTCAAGAAAAGAGCCTACTCCTTTTTAAAAGGCCGGCAACGCATCTGCAATTCCCCTGGTGTTGCGGTTGTTCATGGGCGGCGGTAGTCACTTACCATCAGGTGAGCCGCATGCTCGTTTGCCCCCTCTCCTATAAAAAAAAAAAAAAAAAAAAAAAACACAATGAAATATGTTCTCAATTAGCGAGTAACTTTTTATGGGTGTAAGTATTTATTTTTTTACAAAATTGACTTAAAAAAGTATTTCTTAACGTTAAATTGTTGATTTTTACTTTAAAATAAATAAATTGCTATATGACTATTACAATTACTGTTTTTCATTAACATACATTACCTACCTGTATATGTGTAAAAAAAATACCAGATTTCAGTACACATACATACATAAACACTCACGCCTGTCCCCAGAGGGGTAGGCAGAGACTATGGACTTCCATTTGGCACGATCCTGACACACCTCTCTCGCTTCCTCCACATCCATATACCTACGCATACACGGTCGTCGGTTAAAGGTTTCAGTACACAATATAAAAAAATTAACATGTCTAAATAAGTTTCGGTTTCGGTTGAAAATCCTGTTTCGGTCGGACACTAACTTATTTACAACAAAATAACTTATGCTAACTAACTTATGACGCAAGCTCCTAACTTAAGTACCAATAAAAATTATTTTCTTTGCCTAATTGAATATTTTTTTACGGGTTGGTTAATTGAAAAAAAAAAAATGGTAGATCATGAAAAAGATAAAGTTGTATACGAAAAGCTTAAAAAACTATCACAAACAAAGACGTCAGTTTGGAATCATTTCTAAAAGCTACGGATAATTTCTCAGCTAAGTGTATTTATTAGCTGTAACAAAATACTGAAAACATCTGGAGGTTCAACTTCAGGACTTCACACCCAGATGGATGTGAAGTCCTGACGTGGTGACGTGGTGGTGGAAGTCTTTTAGAATAATAGAACGTGCTGCCTTCATCTGAAGTGGAACTCAGCGGGCAAACACTTCTACTGCCACTGCCGCCCTATCTTTTTCGGTTGCTACAGAAGATGAACCACCAAGAAAAAAGAGTAAATTGACAGACTTAGTTCTGGTAAGCTATTTGAACTTTCCAAGTTCAAATAGCTTACCAGACACAGTTTCTCGTATGACAGCTTTAGATGGCTCTCCATTTAGCGATTTTGTTACATTTGTAAACCAAAAGATGAAAGAATTATTCAAATCGGTCCAGTGGTTTCGGTGCCTATTCAATTCAAACAAACAAACAAATCTTTCCTCTTTATAATAGTAATATAATATATATAAAATAAAATAGTAATATATAGTAGTGTAGATGTAGATGGACAATGTTAAACTAGAGATGTTGGGAATGTTCATTTTTCTAAATTAAAATAATTAAAATGCCGTTAAATTAAGAGCAGTACTCACTGGAAGTGCCACATGGAGTGCGTGAATTCGTCGTCCATGAGGCTGAAGATGGCCTCCACGTCGCCACTGGGCAGCCGTTCCGGCAACTTTTCCACGTGCCAGCGAGCCACTCGCGCGAACCCGTGCTGCGGTCCGAACGCCCATTGTCCGAATTGAGCTGCGAATTTATAACATAGCAATAAAGTTTTAAATATAAGTCAATAATAAATAAATTAATAAATAAATAATACGTTTATTTCGGTAATCTTGTTAACAATATATTGCTGAGACTTCCCAGTGAGTAATCAGAGGATACACGTGTTGAGAATGACCCACTACTTCCCTTAGGGATGACAGTAAGATACAAAAAGTTTAACCTCTAGAAAATTTGTAATTAGTATGTGTATATTAAGGAGTGTGTGAATGTGAGTGTAGGAATGTGGTTGTTTTTTTTTTTATAGTAGAGGGGGCAAACGAGCATGCGGCTCACCTGATGGTAAGTGACTACCGCCGCCCATGAACAACTGCAACACCAGGGAGGGAATTGCAGATACGTTGCCAGCCTTGTATATATAATGTGAGGGTGTGTGTGTATGTATGTATTGGTGGATGAAGAAAGTATAGGTAAGAAGACTACATAGTTGTCTTGCAAAATAAAATTTTACTGATCAAACATGAAAGACAGCATAGTGTAAAAGTAACATTACAGCCTATATACGTCCCTCCTCCTCTTATTTCTGAGAGGATTATGGAGCGTTGAGTCCGCGTCGCTACTGCAGTCTGCAGTGCGTGTTTCCGTACTTCACATGTCGTCGAATATTTTATTCCTCAAACATGTAGGTTTCGTCAAGATGTTTCATTTTTGCCGACGTGGAACAAACCCAGTTTGCTCGCGTATTGTGAAATTAACTGCGAGCGCTTTTTGTCGTATGAAGTATCAACAAAGTGAAAACCAATGTGTTCAATGTATTGTACGGAATGTAGTCAGTAATTTTAATTTACGAATAGATAATAAAAAATGTTTATGGCATACTTATTAACTTCTACATACATCAATTCAATTGTCTTGTCAACCACGGACGTAAAAGAAACATTAATTTTATATTTGTGTTGTCAACTTAAAACTTAAAAATAATAACTAATATTTTAAGACATACTAATTACAGTTTTATTTTCATTTATCAAAAACAAAATACATTGCATTACATGTAAAGTGTGTATTAACAGCATTAATAAAAACCAAATTTGAATATATACTTACGAAAAACGAATGGAATCCCCCCACGTATCGCTCTTTTGCCGTCGAATACAGCTTGTTTGCTGTAATTAAAATGATATAATAAGTATTTAATATAATTTAGAATTTTGTATAAATTGACCGCGTAGCTTTTGTGATATTTGTGCAAGAACATAAATATTTAGCTTTTAGGTTTAGTTTAGCCTAACTCCGATCACATAGTGAACATCAGACAGAGTGTGCATTTGGTAAGCGCGTAGAGGACATGTAATTTAAAACTGCACAAGCTTTCCTTGCATTTTTAGTAGATTTTATAATTTTTTTTATTCATCATCATCATCATTACAGCCCTTTACAAGTCCACTGCTGAACATAGGCCTCCCCCAAGGAATGCCACAGAGCACGGTCCTGAGCCTGCATCCATCGACTGCCTGCATGTCTTACCAGGTCGTCACTCCATCTAGTGGGGGGGTCGTCCTACACTTCGCCTACCGGTACGAGGCTGCCACTCGAGAACCTTTTTTCCCATCGGTTGTCGGTTCTTTGAACTATATTGCCGGTGCCGGCTCATTGCCACTTCAGCTTACTAATTTGTTGGGTCATGTCGGTCACTCTAGTTCTAGTGTGGATATCCTCATTTCTAAGTTTATCCCGCAAAGAAACCCCGAGCATAGCCCTCTCCATAGCTCGCTGAGCGACCTTGAGCGTCCTAATACGGCCAGCAGTGAAGGACGTCTTAGATCCATAAGTCATCACTGGCAACACGCACTGGTTGTACAATCTCGTTTTCAGGTTTTGAGGTATACCTGACGAGAAATGTGTCATCATCATCATATATATTGCTTGCACTTGTGAGAAGGTTATAGGCATAGTACAATTATCTCACAATAGTTGCGCGCGTATCGTATCAACAAATTAATTTTAAAGTTACATATCACTCAACGACGTACGTATCATCATTCCTAATTGGAAGTAATTAGAAGTAAAGACTAGACATGAGTGGGGGGGTGGGGAGGGGGTTTGACTTGAACTTTAGGCCTATACAGTTTGAATAGCCTATCATGTAGAGGATGTCATGGGGGTCATGGTTGAATAGGGGCAAAAAGTTCTCATTACACTCCTAGGGGGTCAAAATGGCCAAAAACCAAAAAAAATATATTCTTATTTCAGCTATAACACCGCCTCCTTCGGAGTTTGTTACACTGTCTTTACTTCCCGCATGCCACTTGTTAAACGATATAACTCTTCCGAATTTAAAACGATATTTCGACAATTTTTTTTCTATGGCAGCAAAGCGCCGTGTAGCAACTAGTATTTTATAAGATTTTTAAGTTTTATTTACTAAAGACAGACGCTACGCTGAATTTACGCAGTTTACGTCTTCTATATGCAGAGGAGAACTTTGATTAAAATCAAAATGTGTTACTGATACTGGTGACCAACTGATAACTGATGGCTTATTAACCCTTTCGCTGTCCCGTGCACTACATATAGGTCATTGCTATTGTCTTACTATTGTGTCTCAAAACCGGACAGTGAGTGTTGAGTTACGCGTATCGTGATTATGAAACTTTTCAAAACCATTCAAGAATAAATTCCCGAAGTTGTAACTCGTAAACAATGTATACAAGTCCAATAGTTAAAACAGTAATAAAAAATACATCTGCGTAAAAAAATACTGAAAAGAGAAAAATGTTATGTCAATTCCCTATGTCACTTCCACAACTAAGACGTTTATACGACCCCATATTATGTTAAAATCCATTATGCCATTGCGTGCGGCTACAGCGCGTGCCAAAGAATAAGACATACCTACATACATACATACTTATACATACATACGTTACATACTTAAACTCGAAAAACATTATTCTCCTCCTGCAGCAGTCGGGTAATATCAAATATTTTTAATAGGGTTGCGAAAACATTAATAGTGCAAACTTTTTAATTACATAAAACGTTCGTAACATAGAATATGTATATTTCGTGTATTTCGACAAATCTGACTTAGGTTACAGGTTATACGTATATCAAAAGACAATAAAATGAAAGATATTATGGTAGACGCTATTATAAATATGGTAATTTCTTGTGCAGAAATTATACCCAAACTACAATTATAATATCTAGAGGCGTAGCTATTGTCTCCGTTTTGGTTTAAAGTGGATGTTCATGCAATATGTATAAATGCATTTAGCCTTTGATGTAAATATAAGGATACGTGAGCTCTTAAATATTTCCTTTTACATTTTGTGGTAGACTGATCGCCCACTAAGGTATTACACATCACGAATATCATATTAGTTAATAATAACTTGTGTCCAAAAAGTAACTTTAACTACACGTATAATATAATAAAGGTTCTCGAGTGACAGCCTCGTACCGGTAGTCGAAGTGTAGGGCGGCCCTACACTAGATTGAGTGACGACCTGGTAAGACATGCAGCAAGTTGATGGATGCAGGTGGCTCAGGACCGTGCTTTTGGCATTCCTTGGGGGAAGCCTATGTTCGGCAGTGGACTTGTGAAGGGCTGTAATGATGATGATGGCGATGAAGTATGATATATATTTCTGTAGTTATTGAATATTTTAATTCCATTTAGTCAATTGAAAAAACACTTATTGAATTTTTTTTTGTTTATTCACTATAACAAGCCAGTGCTTGACCTGATGGTAAGTGGTGACAAGACGAAGAAAGTTAGGCGCACTGACTTAGCTTATGAAAAGTCTATTTAATTTGCCTTGAAGACATAAACACCCACATTATAATCGGATAGAAAGACATTATCACTGGTTTGGAATATCTCTGGACTGAGAAGAAACAGCGTACCAATAGGCCCTTTTTAGGGTTCCGTACCCGAAAAGGAAAAAAACGGAACCCTTATAGGATCACTTTGTTGTCCGTCTGTCTGTCTGTCTGTCAAGACCCTTTTTCTTAGGAACGCGTGGAGGTATCAAGCTGAAATTCATATCAAATACTCAAGTCTACTGTACCTTAGAGCTGTGAAAAAATCAAACTTCTAAGCCAACTCAATCAAAAGATACAGCCGTTTATGCCGCAAATTTTCGATATTCGCAAGGGAATCAAAACCTACAGAGTACTTCCCGTGAACTCAGAATCTTGAAATTTGGTACGTAGCAACGTTTTATAGCATAGATAAAGGAAAAATTGCGAAAAGCATAAATTTTAAGTTACATCCATCGGTCACTATTTATTAGTGATCGATGGTTACATCATATAATAAAAATATTTTTAATAATTTTAACTTATATACCTACGGATTTGTTCGGAACCCTCGGTGCGCGAGTTCGACTCGCACTTGGCAGGTTTTTTTATAATACACATCGCTGTTTCGTAATCTATATATCACAGCATAATCGGGTAAAGTCTTTGCAAAAGTCTAGGACGACCACAAAGGATCAAATATTTGGATTCTTAGACGGTTATCATCCGAGCGTTAATGTTCGATACCTATTCAATTTATTAATATTCCACTACTGGCTGAAATACACTTACTTGGTTACTCCTGAAGCCGCGAACAAGGATAATCAGACAAATCGAATCACTAAATCTGTCTTAGATTACAAATGAGAAAAACAAGGATCGATTTTGGTTGTTTGGTAATTGGCCAAGAATTTCCACAAATGTTCGATTTGTCCGATTATCTTACCGTTACTGCCTATTATAGTCCACTGCTGAACATAGGCCTCCCCAATAGATTGCCTCATAGGGGGATATTTGCCATAGTTGCCACGCTTGGCAAAAGGGTTGGCAACCACAGTTTTTAATTTTTAGATGATTATTATATATACACCTATTTTCATGACGTATTATAAAAAACCCATTTGCCAGTTTTTTTACACTTTTTGATGCAAAATTTTTATGATACTATTTTGGTCAAGGGTGAGATCTTGTGAGATCAATTAATGAAGAAACTATAAATAGACAAAAGCCTATTAAATGCGCTAAACAAACCGGTAGATGAAGCCGTAACGAGAAAACTATGAGAAAAATATCATATCTGTGAAAAATAATCGATGTATTTTATTGGTGTCTTTTATATTTGGGTTGCATACATCTATACTTTCTACATCTATGTTTAAATGGATCCGACGTGAAGCAGTTGTATTTGATCGCATGCAAGCACCAGCTTAACTTTCCAGCCACGTTTGAAACAAGATCAATTTTAGCGGTTGCATTCCAACGCGGCCGGGGGACGGTGCAAAAAGCACCCTTATATTATAAATGCATCAGTGGACAGGTCGGACGGTGCAAAAACGGCGAACGAGCAAGCAACGTATAAATTATTTATGCCATTTTTAGCATTTCGGAGTTTGTGGCGCGGCTGGACACGACTGACGAGCTCACGACTGTCGTCGGATCATTGCGTTGGCAAATCGATGGCATACTTGTTATTGGATGATCTTTGCGAACGTTGAACGCCCTTTGTACTTGAGTCGCAGTACGCATACTAAACGAACTTTATTGAAATAATGAACGATGTGTACACAAGCGTGTTAGTGAAAAACCTTTTAGTTTCATAATCTCCTTACAAAATTAAATAAATTACTCAAAAAAATGTTTCATTATTAATTAAGAACATACTTTTACTATTTTTATGTTTTAGATTAACGCAAGACGTAACGTTTACGTGGTAGAGCCATGCTGCAACTATAATAAGTGTATAGCGCGAATTGATCGGCTCGACCGGGGTAGGACCACGCTCTCACAGAATATCAGCGTAAAATAGCAGCTTAATGTTACTGTGTTTTGTATGGTGAGTGTAGAGAACCGCAGACCCTTTTTACTGGAAACGAGGTATTCCATCTTAGTCCTCAGGGGTTTGCAACGCATTTGCATTTTGATTCCTAATCGATGATAGATGTAGATGTCTATGGGCCACAGTATCCACTTACCATCAGGTGGACTGTGTGCACGTTTGTCACCCTTATTCTATAAAGAAAAAGATATTATACACTTCTTTGTTTGAAATTGTTTGCAATTGTCCACTTGCAAACAATTAGCCAAAGCTTGCAAAAAGCAATTAGCTGCAGTAGCTACTTACTAAAGGGTGATTTGTTAG